ATATATATATATATATATATATATATATATATATATATATATATATATATATATATATATATATATATATATATATCATCTAAAAAAGACCTTCTAATCATTTAAAATTTATTAAACATACATTTATAAAATGATTCAGTTTATATTAAGTTCATGAATACATTAGTTCAAAAGAATATTATGGATTAATATAATTGGGTTAATTTCTTATGTCCAATCAATATGAATTTAGTTAAAGTCCAAATTAATTGATTTGGGCTACAATAGATGAGCCTAGTTTGCTAAGCCCAATGTCATCTCATCCTAGAGGCTCATTTTGGTGTAACGTGACAAATGATATGACATGCCAAGTCAAACAGAGAAGTCACTAGGATCATGTCATGTGTCAAAAATGAAAAACTTGTTCCATAAAATTCATATGTCTCGATTAGCCGAAGAAAATCATATTCCAATCACAACTCCTCTATTCCAAAACTAAAAATAGAGGTCTTCATAATTCAAACAGGAACCAAGAATTCTAACAAGAAGCTAGAGAAAATCTTGTGGATCAAAAATCACAGATTTCTCTATAAGATGCAAGTGTAAGAATTCAAGCGTTCAAATTCAAGAACGATCAAGACTAGGACCACCAGATTCAAGAACAAGATCGAAGCCCTTATATTCAAGTAAGAGTCAAGATCAAGATAAAGTTCAATTTCAATGTCGAAGATTCAAGAACAAACTTCAAAGCCCTTGAATCCAAGATCAAGAGCATCAAGTTCAAGTCCATATCAAGTTCATCAAGTCCACAAAATCAAGTTCAAGTTCAACAAAGATTCAAGAACAAGCTCCAAAGCCCTTGAATCTAAGATCAAGTTCAAGAACCCTTGAATTATGTTGAAAAAGATGGATTAGAGGAATAATAGAGATTGTAACACCCATACTACAAAACATTAAGTATGATTGTGCGATACTTTTCCATTCTTGATTATTATTTTTCTCGACGTGAATTTTACAATCCACAAATTCTGACATGCTTAGTGGGACAATCTCTTTCAAGAATAAAAGAATATTGAGATGAGTTCCAAGAAGATCAAATCTCAATCAACTGCATCTAAGATCACTAACTCTAAATTTTCTACTAAGTCGAAGAATACTTGGTGTTAGCTTCGAAAGTTTTGGAATTGTTTCGAGGAACAAGACCACTATGTTGCTTAGAGATTAATAAAACTTAAGCTCTACTTGAGAAATCTGTTTTTTTAGAACGCTACTATAAAGGAGAACTATGATTCAACTAAGAAATCATCTACACATGCATCACATAATATAATTCTATTGAAGATCAACTTCCATGATAATCTAGGCCACTCTACAACATTCTCAATGATCATGCAAGCTATGGTATCTAATATTTTCTTAGCCG